TCCCATCAAAATTCTTCACAGATCTGGAGAAGACAATAATCAACTTTATATGGAAAAACAAAAAACCCAGGATAGCCAAAACAATCTTATACAATAAAGGAACGTCTGGAGGCATTACCATCCCTGACTTCAAACTCTATTACAGAGCTACAGTATTGAAAACAGCTTGGTATTGGCATAAAAACAGAGAAGTCGACCAATGGAATCGAATAGAAGACCCTGACTTTAACCCACAAACCTATAAACACCTGATTTTCGATAAAGGAGCTAAAAGTATAAATGGAAAAAGAGAGCATCTTCAACAAATTGTGCTGGCAAAACTGGATGTCAATCTGTAGAAGAATGAAAATAGATCCATATCTATCACCATGCACAAAACTCAAGTCCAAATGGATTAAAGACCTCAATATTAATTGGGACACACTGAACCTGATAGAAGAGAAAGTGGGAAGTACTCTACAACACGTGGGCACAGGATACCACTTCCTACGTATAACCCCAGCAGCACAGACACTAAGGGCCTCATTGAATAAATGGGACCTCCTGAGACTGAGAAGCTTCTGTAAAGCAAAAGGCACTGTCACTAAGACAAAAAGGCAACCCACTGACTGGGAGAAGATCTTCACCAACCCCGCAACTGACAAAGGTCTGATCTCCAAAATATATAAAGAACTCAAGACACTAGACCATAAAAGGCTAATCAACCCAATTATAAAATGGGGCACTGAGCTGAACAGAGAATTCTCAACAGAAGAAGTTCAAATGGCCAAAAGACACTTAAGATCATGCTCAACTTCCTTAGCGATCAGGGAAATGCAAATCAAGACAACTTGAATGGAAATTCTTAATAAATCCCCTCTACTGACAATGCAGAAAACACATCTACAAAATGATTGTAAATCTGGTATTCTTCACAATGTCACAGAAAGACCCAGAAATAGTCAAGTGCTTTAATAATAGAAAAACTGCTAAATAAATTCAGTTACAGCTATGTGACTAAAAATGCAATATTTTAATTCAAAGAAAACATTGGAATTAGAAAATGTTTCATATAGTATGAAGTAAAAAACAAGTAGAAAACTAACATGTAATAAAAATATCTGATGGGGAGAGTCTTCTGTTTTGTGTTAACATCATTGGTTAAATAAAGAGACTGCCTTGGCCCTTTAATAGGACATAAAATTAGGTAGGCGGAGTAAACAGAACAGAATGCTGGGAGAAAGAAGCTGAGTCAGAGTCGCCATGATTCTCCCACTCCAGACAGCGCAGGTTAAGATCCTTCCTGGTAAGCCAGCTCGTGGGCTACACAGATTATTAGAAATAGGTTAGAACAATATGTAAGAGCTAGCCAATAAGAGGCTGGAACTAATGGGCCAAGCAGTGTTTAAAAGAATACAGTTTCCGTGTAATTATTTTGGGTATAAAGCTAGCCATGCGGGCGGCTGGGTGCCAGGAATGTAAGCCCGCCACTCCTATTACAACAAATATCATATTCATGTATGTGCAAAAGATTTAAGAAAATCCATAAAGCTGGCTTTAGTCATTATTGCTATGTGTGTGCTGTGAATACTCTCTATTCTTTTGTTCTTTCCCCTACTTTCTACACAGGACATGCATTGCTTTCAGCAATGAGGAGAAAGTAGGAAAAACGTGCATGGGAAGGACAGAAAGGCGGAGAAATCGGATCATGTCTTACAGCTGCTGCAGGTGACTTCAGCATCAGCAAGATGGTGTCCTGCCCGGGCTGGGAGAGAACTTAAGCTCACTCCAGCTGGGGCTGACTGCATTTCCCAGAGAAGAAACTTCTCCCCGGGCTGCACTGGAAGGCTTTGTTCCCTGTCGGCTCTCGTGTTACCTGTAGCTTTGGTCATCCCTCTCCTTGCCCACATTCTTCCTTCTGGCGCATCTCCTTGGTAGCACTAACGCCATTCACCCCTCACTCCACACACAGATGAAATTGGGTCAGTTCCCATGAAATAGCCCACTTCAGGGACACCAAACCAACCAACAACACAAGATGAAAACTTGCAAACCAGTGGTTCTCAACTCCTACAGGTCCTCATGTTGTGGTGACCCCCAAACATAAAATCATTTATTTACATTGGTACTTCAATACTGTAATTTTGCTACTTTTATGAATGGTAAATGTCTGTGTTTTCTGATGGTCTAGGTGACCCTGTGAAAGGGTTGTCTGACCACCTGCCAAGGGGTCGCCACACCCATAGGATGAGAACCACTGCTATAAACCAAGGTGATCCGGCCTTTAGGAACACATGGAAGGCGACTTTTCTTCCTGTTGCAGTAACAGTTGCTGTGTCTCTTACCTCAGCAAGTGTGGAGGGAGCGTCACAATGGTGTCCAGGCCACTTAGGGTTTCTGCAAAAGAATATTGCAGCGTTACAAGCAAATATTTAAAGACTGGGATTAATATCTAAATTCTAAAATCTCTGTACTCTCTGAACTCACTGATAGTTTGTGTGCCCCCTTGGAAAATAGAAAATAGTCATATCTTTATTTTAAAATTCTTTCCCATGATGGACCTCAATTCATTATTGGGAAAGAGAAGGTTAAAAAATCGGGTCACATTTTCCCGTTAGCAACGGGGAATGAATAGCTAAATCCCTAACCTAAGCCAGAATGCCAATGCAATGTACCTACCACTGGCCGAGAGGCTCCGTTCTTCCAATCAAAGTAAAAGCAGTTTGGTTGAAACATTTTAATCTCTCAATACACAAACTCAAGTTATAGAGACTTTCAGGTTCACAAGGAACCTTATGGGACATGTGGTAATCTTTTTTAACAGCTTTCCTATTATTGAAACACTTGACCCTCTCTGGGTTTTCCTTTGATATTAAGAGAAGCACAGAACTTCCACTTGTTTGTGGAGTGTGCTTTCGACATTATCAGGACATCGTGATTTACTGGGAGTTTCCGTTCAAGGAGGTTGAACAAGAATTAGGCTTTCGTCTTTAAAACAAATCCGTCTCTTCTCCTCTCATGCCTGCTCCAGACTGGCCTGTGCCGGGGACTCCCATGCTAATCACATATGCTTGTGACATGGTAGACTGACCACCTGTTTAGCCACGTCACAGGTAAGGGTAGTGATTAGGAACTTCATCCTCAGATCTCATTAATCAAGCCTAATAAAGCTCAATACTTTGTCGCCGTTTGCAGATAAATCATACGACTGCTGACTTTAATTGTACAGACAATAGAAAGCTAATTATTATGCCCTGATCCACAATTGTTCTACTTCAGTCGCTCCAGCCTGTCTCCCAGCGATCAGCTCTACCGTGTAGATTCAACTAACTTTGTCAATTTGAACTACTTCCCTGGGGAAAGAACAGACAGCCCCTCCACCCTTCTCAAGAGATCAGAGAGAACATGAAACCAAGTACGTCCTTAGACTCAGGACTAACGGGACCCCGCAGGACAGAATCAGGCCGGTTGTAGACAATGGAGCAAAAATAGGAAAATAACGCATCAGCAAAAACCAGTAAGTAGAGCTGAGTGGGATCAGTGGTGGCTTGGAGATGAGGCCCAACTGGGAGCAGGGAAGACTGAGGTCAGAGCCCAGGATGGGACAGGATGACAAGAAAATGAAGCCACGAGATGCAGGTTCTAGGGGCAGCTCAAAGGGCCACACGGGTTAGCAGAGCCCAGCAATTAGTGTGACAGGGGACAGCGCTGAGGGCACGTCAGTGCTGTTGGTGAAGGAGAAATAAAAGCAGACAAACAAGTGTGGTGCACTCTCCAGAGACGGGGCTGCATCTCCAGGTCGGGACCGAACACTGCATGATCTACAGATGCTGTGTGAGCCAGAAGAAAGAGAAACACGAACAGAGAAGTCATTCTGTGGGACAGGGCTTGCCCAGCATGCAAGACTCTGGGTTTGATCCCCAGCACCACCTTTAAATATAAAAAGGGTAGAGGGAGGGAAAAGGCAACCACACTGTTGCCATGAGCCAAGACCCCTACTCCATGTAAGTAGGCCAGGGTAGAATTCAAGTAAGTTGTCCAAAGGACAAAGAAGCCAAGGCCTGAAATACACAGAACTGCCTTTTCCCACTACTGTCCTATAGTATATATGCAGAACTGTCTTTCCCCAGTACTGCCCTGTAGTAGGATAGAGTAGCTCTGCAGGGAGGAACACCCCAGAAACACATAACAGAGCCGAGAGAATGGCATGACCTGACTCCACACTAGTTTACAGGATGGAAGAAGTCACCCAGCTCCACGCCTGTCCCCTCATCTCCAGATTTCTTTCACCTGGGAGTGAGCCCGGGGTCTTCATCCAAGTGAGGCAAGTGTTCTGCCACTGACACACACCCAGTTTCACTATCTGTAGAGGGAGGAGATGAACGTCTGCCCCACAGCCTTCTTAGGTCAGGCTAATGGAATCAGTCATTAAAAGCCTGACATTGGTCTTAGAGGTCAGTGACAGCTCCTGTCTCCTTGGCAGACCCACTGAATCTCAGGCCATGTACTGTTTGGAGATCCGGGGGTGAGAATGGAGATTGGTGGAGAATTTGGAGATCATACACTCCAGTTTCAAACTGTGGCAAATGCCAGGGAGGAAAAGACAGGGCATTAGTCCAGAGCCCAACAGGAGGCCCTCCTATGGACAGACATCAGGCTCTCTGTGTGAAGTGCTGAGACTGAACAGGATGCAGACTAGGTAAGAAGGAGGTGATCCAAGAAGAGAGCTTAATGGGTTCAAAAGACAGGAAAACTTAGCCTCCTTTGGTAGTGCATACCTGTGCTCCCAGAGACGGACTCCGTAGGCAGCTGGATCCCTTAGGCCAAGACTCAGAGACCAGCCTGGGCAGCACAGTGAGAACCTAGCTCAAACACAAACATACCAGCAAATAGACTCAATGAAGGCTTAAGCTTTTTAAATTAAGGGCAGCGAGATAGCTCAGTAGCAGAAAAAAGCACCTGCCACTAACCCTGGTGACCTGAATTTGATCCCTGGGACCCTACACAAAACAAATGAATAAAATTGTAATCAAAGTTTTGAAAGAGGGAAAAGAAACCCTCCAGTGGATCCCAGCCACTGCCACTTCAAGAGGTCACTGGCCTTGTGCCACCTTCTCTCACCTGGTGACTGAAGCAGCCTTCTCCAAGTCCCTGCCTCTGGCTCAGTCCCTACCCTGTGTTGGAGAGGCACACCCCAGTCAGGGTCTTTTTTCCTTTACTCCAAATGGTTCTTCACTACATTTTAAATAAAAGATAACCCTCAATATGTCCAGGGAAGACCTCCATGAGCTCTCCTACTTCCTCCCGCCACTGACTTACACACACACACACACACACACACACACACACAGACACACACACACACACACACACACACACACACACACACACACCTGGCAGCCTTCTCACACTTCCCTAAGTTACAACCTCCCTTTCCAGACAGCCTCCCCTAAACATTCCACTGAGATGGCAACTCCATTTTCTCCCTAAGGGCCTCCTATCTCAGTTACTACTTCATGTTTTTTTCTACAAGTTTTGCCACTGAGTTGGCAGATATGTTTTTGCTTCTCTGGACCTCTTTGCCTGTTTTGCCCCTATAATAACAGCACTGAAGACAGCACCCAGATCACTGTAGGTGCTCCCTACATATTTGCTGCGTTAATGAAGTAACGGGGAGGATGGCATACGTCAGTCACTGAAAGAAGCTCAGTATGGCTGAAGTTTGGGGTGTCCGAGGGAGGGTGCTGCGGATGAGGCAGGCCACATGAGACTCAGCAGAACACACTGAGGACTCTGATTCACACTAAGGGTGCTATTCGGTTTTTCACCCCATTCACCTGACATGGAATGAACAAATTAGGCTTCTCAGGTGCTACTGCTTGGCCAGTAGCTTGAAATCATCTAGAAGTAACAAGACCAAGCACATATGAAGCTACTTGGGGCATGGAGGGTAAGCAATAGAGGCAGAAATACAGACAGTCTGGATACAGCTAGGAAGAAAACAAAAGCAGAACATAATGCACTTTGTCATCCAACCTGCTCTAAGATATCCGGGATAACTCTAGTTCCAGGTCAAGCAACTGGACAGTATGTGAGAACAGGCGACTACTTGCCGAGCACCTAGACACACTAGAGGGAAGTAAGGTCTGATGATGACGTAGGATGTTCACAAGATCACTTTAGCTCATGCTAACTACAAGGACCTTTATGCCACTCAGGAAAAGATGTTGAAGTAATTCATGACATTGGGCCTGGAATGTGAGGGACCAGGAAGGCAAGAATAGATGTGTCCAACTCCTGTTGACACAGTGTAGCTGAAGAACCACAGTGTCACAGGAAGTGGCTGTGGCAGTAAGGCTAAGCCAGCATCCAGCTGCATCTGGTGTCCCTGATGGAAGTCAAATTAGATTGGAGTGGGGCAAAGGTGTGGGCATGATGTGGGATTCTTCTCTATATACTGTAAATACCACTGGTTAATTTAAAAATCTCTTTTGGGACTGGCAGGACAAAATAGAGCTAGGTAGGAAAAACTAAACTGAATGCTGGGAGAAAGAAGGCAGAGTCAAGGTGAAGTCATGCAGCCCCGCCAGAGATGGATGCATGGCAAAACCTTGCCAGTAAGCCACAGACATGTGGCAATACACAGATTAATGGATATGGGTTAGTTTAAAATATAAGAGCAAGCAAAAAAAAATTCTTAAACTATTGGCCAAACAGTATTATAAATAATATGGTTTCTGTGTCATTATTTCGTGGTCTGGGCAGCCAGGAACCAACAAGCAGGCTCCTACAACAAATATATGTTTAAGATATTGGCCAAACAGTATTGCAAATAATATGGTTTCTGTGTGATTATTTTGGGGCTGAGCAGTTGGGAACAAACAAGCGGCCTTACACAGCATGGGCACAGTCCCTATAGACATCCTAATAAGTCTGACATCAGAAAGCAACCCGTGGGAGAACCTATAACCAGAAGAGAAAGCGGCGAAGGGATGGTAGTGAGGTAGATGGCTCTTTGCCTATTGGGATTCCCGCCTCTAATTCATTTTCTTTCCCCTTTATATATCCCAAATTTGGCATTCCTCCTAAGTCCTCTGTTGTACGTAAAATAGTAAAAGCAATTGCAAAATGGGGCACGGCTCTTCCCAGGTATAATTCCAGTCACGTCCTTTCCGGTCTCTGGGCCAGCAGTCACAGCCTTGGGAGTTGTCGGTTCTAAAGGAAAGCCTGGTTCTTGCAGCACCCACCTGTGCTTTCCTATCCAGAGCATCTGACTGGCAAATACGAGTCAGGATAGCACAGGGCAAGGGGGAATGCACACCTCGTCCTTGCTACCTACTCTACAACGATCAAGAACACTGATGTTTAGAGACGATATCACAAACAAGAAAAGGTTCAACAAGTTTGTTTGTTTGTTTTTAATGTACTAAAGGCGCTGGTGAGATGACTCAGTGGGTAAATACACTCATCACCAAGTCTGCCAGTGTGAGTTCAATTCCCAGAACCCACCCAGTAGGCCTGACGTCTACATGCATGCTCTTGCATCCACCTTCATATAAATAAATGTTAAAAAGTGAAATAAATTAAAGTCCATTCATATGCTTGAAATATAAATGTGCCTGATGATCCCTTTGTAAAAGGGGTAGCTCTTAAAAATAGCGCGGGCCACTGGGGGGTGAGATAAAAGTACTTTTTACTTTCTGCTTTGTACTGTTCTAATGTTTTCCAATATTTTAAAACTAACTCGTAACTCTTATGAATTAAGGGTGAGTGATATGTGAAACCACGGGGGTAAGGAAGAGTTTATTTATGAATCGAAAGCTGTGTCCTCACACTGTCGATGCAGAAACCACTCAAGTTCCAAACGCACTGTTCCTGTGCTCACAGAGCCCACAACTCCGCTGACCTCTGTTGTCATTGTTGGCCAGTGTCCACTCTCCTGCTTTCCCGGCACTATCCATTTTGCTCCGAGGAAACCATCTTTCCTTAACCCTGGCATTCAGTTGTCTCCATAGTGTAGGTCTAATCCCGTTATCCCACTGTTTTTCCTGGGTAGCGCATTGGTTCAGGCATAATCCCATGACTCATCAGAACACAGAGAGAATCCACAAAACCAAGGGCCACACAGGTGAGCCATATGGTTTAAGCGGGACGGGATCTTGAGATGGTGAGAATGGTATTGCCTCTTCTCTCCTTAGAACAGGGGCTCTCAACCTTTCCAATACTGCGACCCTGGGAATACATTTCCTCACTCTGTGGTGACCCCCAACTATAAAAAAATGTTTTCGTTACTACTTCCTATGCTTTTGTTACTGCTATGAATTGTAATGTAAGTAGCTGTGTTTTCTTATGGTCCTAAGGGGTTGCGACCCACACGTTGAGAACCACTGCCTTAGAGGATCTTAGAGGATCAACTGCTGTTGATGAGAGGTCTCAGAAGTAAAGAACAGAAACTTTTGTCTAGTGTTGCCAGGTTCTTGTTGCTATCAGAGAAAAGATTAGAGATGACACAAAATAAAGAATTGGGGAGAAGATTTTGGCAGACAGAATGAGTAGAGGCTTCTGAGTTACTCTCAATTTTAGGTAGCTGAGCTTATAGGTGAACTTTAATGAGGGGGTTATTTACAAAGGAGGAGAGAGGGTGTGACTTTCCCACAGAACAGGTCCCCTTTCCCCATTCTGTCATTTTTTGGAGTTTTGAAGTTGAAGCAGACAATTCAGCCAGATGAACAATGTGGAGGAGCCGTCACAGTGAGGGACAGTTAGCAAAGGTCTGGGTTAGCCATGGTGTCCCAGCTGGTTTGTCGTGGTTTGAGCAGTCACACAGTGTCCTGTCGTGCTGTAACATAGCTCAAAGATTGCATCAGCTTCTAGAAAGTTTACCTCATAGCTTCCCCCAGAAAGCCCTACCTGACTAACCCTACTAGTATAGAGATGCCTGTTCCCCCCCCCCCCCGAGATGACTGCTGCCCCAACACAGTCTAAAGAAAAACGAGTGTGTGTCCTACTTTAATCTCTGTGGCTATGATAAATACCATAAGCAAAAACCACTTGGAGAGGAAAGGGTTTATTTCAGCCTCCAGGTTACAGACTTTCGGAGCAAGAGCTTGAAGCTGGCTCCACAAAGGAAGCGGCCTTTTGGGTTTGCTCAGACTCAGCTACCTTCCTAAGACAGCTCAGGTGCCCCTGCCTGGGGATGGCACTGCTCACAACGGTCTGGACCTTCCCATATCAATCAGAGATTTAAGAAAATTCCCCATGACCATAGTCACGGGCCAATCTGATTGAGGGGCAATTCTTTGGTTGAGGACCTTTCTTCCCAAGGGTTTATGTCAAATTCATAGCTGAAATTATGTCCAACACTGTGCCCCCCCACAGAATGTCTGAGTAGAGATTATCCCCATCTCCTAAGAGAGCCTAAGTAGGGGATGAAGACGATGCCAAACTGTCTAAGTGAGGGATGACCTCACTCTCCCAAGATGGTCTAAGTTGATGGACACCCAAAGTCCACACAGAGCATATTCACAAAGATCAAGACCAGGTCCTTAAAACTCTAATTTCCCATCAACCCAAACCCACAGTTGCTCTTCTACGGGGCATTTAGTAGATGGGGCAAGCAACTTGCGTGGCGCTGGTCAGCTTTAACTTGTCTCGCCTTTGCACTCAACTTATTTCTCAATTATCCTGCCCTCATAGCCCTACACATGCCAAGTCTGAAGCAGTAAGTGCTCTAAGAAAGTCTGGAGGGCAGGGCTCGGAGCCAGCCGAGTAAATGAGTCTACTGAGGCAGGCAGTGGAAGCTTCCCGTGTGAGCAAGGCCTTGGAGGACCTGGAAAAGAAATTCCTGATAGAGGGTATCAGGCAAAGAAAAATAACTGCTCTGCATGACGTCATCAAGAAAGGGCCACAGCGAATCTACCATCAGGCTGCAGAACTCCTGGTGGGGCAACAGAGCATGGAATTGGCCTAGACTCGAGTACGTTCTTAGAAATTTTCATGTTAATCTATTAAAAAAAAACAAGCAAACATGAAAACTACGAGGGCAGAGCTATGACAAATGTTTTCTAGTAAAAACCTCGACTTGGTCGTGGGAAATAGTGAACCGTAGAAAAACAGCAAAAAAAGCTACCTCCTCTGTCTTTGTTTATCCTGGATAGCCCACTCCCCTTCAACAAACTCTTTCCAATTTAAGAAAACCTTCATTCTCTACAGGGGAGCTCCGAAGTGTTTGCTCAAAAAAAAAAAAATTAGCAGAAAACAAAACCAAAGAACTCACAGTTTACCTGCTCTTCAGATGAAGCCTGCTCCATCTCCCTCCTCCCCCACAGGCAGACCCCACTCCCTTGGTCTGTTTCCCAGCTGCTGGTTATTCCCGGGTACAAAGGAATGCTCCACGCTCTTCTCTACGGCCACAGCCTACAGCCTTATCTCGTCTCTTGCTAATTATAGACTAATCAGTGCACGACAAAGGGGACCACATCTATTCTTACAGTCAAGGTGCATGCAGGGCTTTGACCCAGAAAAAATCTACCTGTTCTCAGCTCTGGGCTTTCCTAGGAGCTACCAGGGCCTAAATAATATCACTGTGGTTTCAACTCAAGGCGTTGAATATCAAATATCCGGCTTATTAGGAAACACTGGGTTACTCTCCGCCTCTGTGTTTATCGCGATCAGTTTCATTCCCAGCAAACTATCCAGGAATCCTGGGAAGGGCATGTTTCGTGCACAGTCGGGCCTCGCTTTATTGTGTCACCCAGCCATCTGTGACCCTTCATTAGAGAGGCAATTGGGAATCCAGTTTGGAATCACTGCTGAACGACAATGGCTGCGCTGAAGCCTTACTGTGGCTTTAAGAGCCTCGCCACTCTCAGACAGCTGGTCCGTTTTCATTTAACAGTAAACAGCCGAGCATTAGTTCTACCTACAACACAGACTGGGGGGGGGGGGGGACAATAGCCGAGACAATTTAGTAAATATGCAGAGATTAAACAAAGGGTGGTGTTGCTGTGCTTGTCTACCCCCACACACACCACATACACAAACATATGTGAATTAAGACCTTCTGTCAGAATAGCATAACCTGAACCGCTATCTGAATTCTGCCTTTGGTGAAACACCAACTAAGGGCACTTCCCTGTCTCTTTTTTTTCAGGTCGCACACAGCACAGAATCATGACAAGCACCAACTGGATTTTATTTCAAGGGAAGAGGTTCTGTTTTCTAACTAACTGGTTATCAAGGGTGGCGTCACAAGCAAGGGGCTGGCAGAGCTGTCCTGGTTCCTTTTCGGCCTTTTCCTTTTTCAAAAGCATCCCTGTCGCCCTAAGCACGGCTCTGGCTGTCGGTTGCAGTTTCAGCCCCACCATTCTCGGCCTCAGCCCTGCCTAACTGATATGTCATTTATTTTCTGCTGCTGAAGTCTGTAGCCTACATGATGGGAGATGCTCGTTTGCAACGAGGAACGCATTTCAATGTTAGCACGGCTCAATGAAAGCCCACCTGTCTGAGGGGCAAGTCAGGAACAGAACTGTGGGAGCAACACAGTTCCTCCAGACTGCTCCTCCAGGCTGTTATTTTCCATGCACAATCGTCGTAAAAGCGAATACTTAGCAAGGTGGCCTCTAACAGGAAAATCAAATTAAACAAGCCTTCCTTCCTGGTTCCACTCAATGATGTTTGAGAAGAGGGCTGTTGCTTTAACTTCCCTCTTCCTTCTAGGCGCCTGGGAACCACGCAAGCTGGGGATCCTAACTTGCCTATGGGGAACCCGTGTCCATAGACGCTGGGGACCCGGAATGGGGACGCCTCATGCCAAAGGCAGCGGTTCCTATTTGAGGTTTGGGAGGAGGTAAGGAGACCAGAGCGGAGACAGCTGGATGCCTACGCCGAGCCAAGATTTCTATATCCTGCACATTCTCGGAGGCAACTCGTGCAATTGCGCGACAGGCATCCATAACCCATACTCGGTGACAGTCCCTCCCGCCCAGGGGCCGCGTGGAGCCTGGAGCAGGTGTCCCCACGCACCGCTCTCGCTTACCCAAGGCCCAGGTGCAGCTCTCCTTGATGGCTTTGTATTTGCTCCCGGACGCGTCCCTCTGCAGCTTCCTCAGAATCTCTTCCATCTTGGCCTTCCCAGAGCCGGGCCACCGACCAGGAGAGCGCGCGGAGGACGCGCCTAGGCGGCCGCTGCGCTCATCCCCATCGCGCTCCGCGGCCACTGATGAATCACGCCGGTTCCACGCCGCGGGCCACGTCAGCCCCGCCGCCACGCCCGTTGCCACGCCCGCCGGGTCAGGTGCACTTCCCCAGCCTGGGGACGCTGGAGGCTGGGTTCTCCTATTTCTCGCCCAGGCTGACCTAGGGGACCCGGTCTCGTCCAAAGGTGGGGTCAGCGGCTCATTGCGGGCGGGGCTCCGCCCGAGGGAGCCTCTGATACACTGTGAGAGCGGTGGGCAGAGGGTAGGGCGGGGTCTGGTTGCTTGTGCCCATTACCTGCGGGTCAGGCAGCATCCCTGCCTGTGGAGACTGGCTACACCCTGGGGCCCTGGAACCAAAGCAGTGATACATTCACTAAATAGTAAACAGCTGGTCCCCTCCCCGTGTCAGGCTGAGGCCACCCAGCAGGGTCTATGCCATATGTCTGCCTGCAGGGAGCTTACATGACAATATATTAGACTCATACATTACACTCTGATGCAAGTCTCTAATAATTACGGAATTGGGTGTGAGAATTAAATCAGAAAAGGTTTAGCAGAGGATTAACATGAATACACTTATATTAGTACATTGAGATTTCTACCAAACCAGCTAAGGCAGAAATTGAAAACAAAAATCAATAGAATTAATTGACAACTTAAAACCTTTCAACAGCTCAGCAGTCAGTCTGAGCGGGACTGCTGTGGATGTTAGAAATTAATGGCCCCATATATCAGCGAAGAAACCAGGCCCCAGCTACTTCCCAGGCAACAAGAGTTGTGTGCCACACACCCTGAATCCAAAGATGTTTTTTTTTAAAAAAAAAAAAAACCTTCAGTAACAGCAGGTAAATATAGGAAAATTAGAAATTCAAGGTCATCCTTGCCTATAAAGTCAGCCTGGGACCGCTTAAGGTACATGAGACTGTTAAAAATAAATACTAAATAAAATAAAATAAATCTCTCATACTGGCTGAGCTGTTTCTGTCTGAAGCAAGGGGCACACTGGTACAGTTCCAGCTGAGGGCTGTTGGGTTTCCTCAGCTGAGGCTGAGGAAAGCCTGCCCTCCTCGGGAGCCACAGGAGGTAACCTATAAGGTCAAGTAAGCCGGAGCCTCTGCTATTTGAGTGACTTCAGGTGTTTCCCTAGTGGTAGGAGGCCCCTCTACCAGCTGTTGTAGAAAAGAGACCCGAAGGAAAACAATGACCTTGTCCTGAGAGCTGTGATGGGAAGTGAGGAAGAGGCTAGAAGCGACTTCAGTTTTTATTAGAACTATATTTGTAGTGATAGGGGTGGCGCCTGCAGAAAGGGTGGTGGTTGGGGGAATGTGAGCAGGTTTCATGCAATCTCGAATAAATTGGGCTCTGGGTAGGTGGATAGGAAGATGTCTGGGGAGACAAGGCAAAAGGAGTTGATGGCTGAATAGAGAAGAACCAGCAGCCTAAGGAATGGCATTCAGATTTCTTTAGGAAATGAAAAGACATTGACCCCATTTTGTAAGGTAAAGATGCTAGGGGAGGAGGGGCTTGGAAGAGGGAATACACAAGCTCAGATTTAACGTGGTCTGATTGAGAAGATACCACACGTCTGTGGGTATTATACCTATGGGCAGGACTCAGAATAGGATTCTGGGATGGAAGGGAGGATTTAAATACCTTCAGTAGGACCAGTGGGGGTTGTTGGAGGGCAGAGAGAGAGTGGCAGGACCTAAGATTAGGGACAGAGGAGTGTGAGGAGGAGGAGGAGGAGGAGGAGCAGGAGCAAAAGGTTAACAAGAAAAGTTAAATGAATGTACTTCCTAATACACTGGAATTGCTACAAAACCCGTTAGGAAGAGATGGGGAAAATTCAATAAATTTCTTAATGTAAAACCTCTAAGTCAAAAGTTCCATTCACAAATTAAAATGCAGATGTACTGGTTTGAATGAGAATGTCCACTACGGACACCTGTGTCTGAACACTTGGTCCGGAGTTGGTAGTCTGGAGGTTTCGAGGTGGGGGTAAGGTGGGTGGGGTGGCACCTAGGGGTGTGGGGCTTGTGCGTAGCCTGGCTCCCTTTGGTGTTCTCTCTTTCTGTGTTTCCTGTGTGCAGAGGGAAATGTGATTTGCCAGCTTCCTGGTCCAGCCTTTGCCTGTTGCCGGCTCCTCCCAGCCAAGATGGACTCAGGTCCTCTGGAAATGGGAGCCAAAGGAAACCCTTTCTTCCCAGAGTTACTTTTGGCTGTGGAATTTTAATCGCAGCAACGGGAGAATCACTAATAAGGCATCAAGTTACACCCAGCTGGACTAAAGGAAGAGAGAGACATCTAGCTTTGAATTTTATGTAAATTTGTATTGTGAGTCTATTTTAAAGCTTTATTAGTTTTATAATTAAAAACAGAGTGCTTAAGCTACAACCCAGGAAAGTGATTCTGATGATGCCAGAGGTATAAAATTGAATAGGGTTGGTAAAAGGCCTTACCAAACTGATAAAAAGTGGAGGTGGTACATATTCCCAAAAGCAAACCAGGCAGTTAGTATGAATTTTGTTTATGGAATAAACAAAGTGATGCATAAATCCACAAAAAAGTACAACACAAACTTTTATGTAAATGGCTGATTTTTATTAGTCAAACGTTCCATTCTCAAATCAACGTGCAGAGGCGGTGATTTGAATGAGAAATGTCCCCTATAGGTGCCTGTATTTGAACAGTCCCCAGTTGGTAATGCTATCTGGGAAGGTTATGGCCAAATGCATTGTGAGCGAGAAATAGACCTAACAGGTACCAGAGATGCTGGTGAACAGAGACAGCACGGTCTCCCCGTGTACCAGGGACATAGACAGCACAGTCTCCCCGGGTACCGGGGACGCTGGTGGACAGAGACAGCACAGTTTCCCCGTGTACCGGGGACGCTGGTGGACAGAGACAGCCCAGTCTCCCCGTGTATTGGGACGCTGGTGGACATAACTTGGTCCGACTTTGCTCACGGGGATAGGAATGTACACAATGCCTATGATTTCAGACCAACAATCCCCCTCCTGGGAATTCATCCAAAGGATGTGATAATGTGAATGAATAGAGGCTGGAGAGATGGCTCAGAGGTCAAGAGCATGGGCTGCTCTTCCAGAGGTCCTGAGTTCAATTCCCAGAAATCACGTGGTGGCTCCCAGCCATATATTATGAGATTTGGTGCCCTCTTCTGGTGTGTAGGCAGACATGCCAGAACACTATTCATAATAAATAAATCTTACAAAGAAAGAAAATGATTATGAAAGTTTTCTGACAAAGATTTCCATGTGTCTTTGAATTATAAACTAATTTAAAGCCATACACTTGTCCAACAACAGGGAGATGGACAGATAATTCATATTGTAGTCATAAAACAGCATACTCCATGATTTGGGTGGCATGAAAACAGGTTTCTAGTTCATAAAGTAAGATAAGCTAACTGTGAGATACTACGCAATTCTGTATGCTACCTGACCTCAATACTTACTAAATATTTAATAAACAATCCATATAAATTAAAAAATATATACATATATAACAGTGACAATTTTCAGTGTGGCTTATAGGCAAGTTTACTTTTCATTAAACATATTTACTTTTATAACAGAAAAGGAAACCTTTTAAAGATGGTGCAAGACTGTAATAACAGCAAAACAATAACATCAATAGCCACAGAAAGGACCAGCATAACATAGATGGGGTTAAATAGGATCAGAGGAACATGGGGTGGGCAGTGTCTGTCCTGGTGGCTTAAGGACAGATGGAATTATGTATGCAAACAACCCACTCACAGTGGTGACTGTGAAGAAAAATACATATTTTCATGTTTTATCCATAGCTCACAGGATTAAACTTACATTGCATTGCTATCCAGTATACAAAGGTACACATGTAGAAATAGCTTAAAAGTACAGAAACAAAAGGGTTTGAGTTTGGTTTTGTGTCAGGATGTAGCATGGGCTAGTCTTGAACTCATGATCTTGACTGAGCTTCCAAAGTGCTGGAATTACAGGTATGCATCTCCACACCTGGATAAAGTTTTATTTATGAGCAATATTAACTTTTAACTATGGTAGAGTTGCTACTAAATATGGTTTTATTCATTGCAGTTGGCACATGGGCCTGTTCCCGAATTTCTTCCAGGCTGGAGGCATAAGGACACTGTTGCCTGATCAACCATAGTGGTTCATTTTAAAACTCTTTGGTCCCAGTTTTTAAGCCTTACTTCTCCACAGCTATAGTTCATAGAAATATTGCTATCAAGAGCATCCGCTGAAACTTACACTGTTACAAAAGAAATTCTTCTTTTAATATTAATCTAAACCTGGGTATGGTGATGCTCACATGCTATCTCAGCGCTTGGGAGGCAGAGGCAGGAGGAGCACAAGTTCAAAGCCAACCTGGGCTGCATGGTGAGACCTTGTCTCAGAAAAACAAAACCAAAATCTCCATATGTAGATATATACATATATACACATACATATTTTAAGAAATGATTAAAATTTGGAGTAGATACTTATAATTAATAAATGTTTTATTCACTCGAATTTTCTGCATTAAATGTGTTCTCTTCGTGTGATTTAAAACGTTGATGATACATAGTAACCGTGGCGATTATTTAAAAAGAATTTTCTAACAGTTGTGCATATTTAGTGTCTTGAAATATGTGCTACGATTTTCCCATGACTATAAATTCAGTTAATTAAAAATGCCAACATTTTTAAAATCTCAGAATGAGTTCTACATGCCAAGCTTTTTGTGAAATACCACTTACAAAATATGAGCCAAAAAAGATTGCTTCTCAAAATACAAAAGTATGGATCCCACTCCTGAATTTTTATAACTTCATATATACTTTTCTCTTAGCATCCAATCCCTATACTTTCTTTATTACATTCATATGTTAATTGCATGGAAATGCTTTGACGCTTTAACAGATACAAAGGCATAGAGGTCTGCATTTGTTTCTTGGTTAAATTCCGTCCTTGGCCGGCGA